GTTATGAATATTATTCAATATTTTAATTTGAATGTCGGATTGAAATGAACATCGCTGTTATTAGAGTAGTTAATCATTAGCATAAGCGCGGCTAACACTAATATAAGGAGCATTAGAATGAAGTTTCTTTATTAACTATTTAATGCTCTTACAACTTTTATTATGGTAAAAAAAACAGGAAGACATGATGATATTTACTATTTTTACACACCAGAGGCTTTTAAATGAATTGTGAATCTAAAATATGCGTGTTAGAGAATGTACAAATGGTTAACATGTTTGTGTCATAGTTGTTATTCTTGGCTGAATAACTCTAGAAGGTTTTAAAAGCCCTTTAAAATTAAATATGTACACAGTTTGGATTAAATAAAAGTATAGTCAAGTTTTTAGTTAGCATGTTTTTGTGTTTTGCTTTGGTACCGAAATTGGTACTGAGAACCGTGGATTTTCACTGGTATTGGTACCGAATACTGAAATTTTGAAATTACTGAAAACTACTTAGTTGTTTGAGCATGTATGCAGCAAAATTAGCCATGTTGTTGAGTTGAGATCAGTTCCTCCCTCACCCCTTTCTCTTTATATCTCTGCGAGAAAGCTGTGACCATCAACAGGAGGAAAGAGAATTGAGTCATTGTGGCCTACGGTGATGACTTCTAGACTTCAGTTTAACCCTTCACGTCCTGCACACATCTCACACAAACACCTTGCCTTTGTGTTGGCTGGTTGAAACTCATGAGTTTATTCAATAAATTAAATCAGTTGTGTTTCTGCGTCTCTGGGGTTAGTGGGGTTGATTGTGATATCTGTGATCAGGCTCTGAAAAAGTCTATGTACTTAAATGAAAGAGTATCTTGTAGTCATTTATATGCTTAAAAGAACAATAATCCATTGCTAAATGTGACAGATATGTTGGCACTCTCCTGCAATAAAATGATCGGTGTAAAATCGAGTGATGGCATTTATGTAGGAAAATTGCAATATAATGATAATATATCGGTCTACTGTAAGCAGTATTAGCTGTTGTGATAAAATGGTGCTAGGTAGTGTGTATCCACCTTAATTTGCAAAGCTTTTTTTTTTTTTTTTTTACAATTGTTCAAAGTTTCAGATAAACAAGTAGTTACTGCGGATTGGACCTTTTCCAAACAATATGCTTAATCATTAGTGCAAGGAAGTAGTTTTACATGTTACAGCATCTTATGGACGAAAACTGGTCACCCATATGTGGGTGCTAATAAGTGTGATATGAGTATAGTAATAATGGCTTTTTGTTCCTATCACTCCAAAACAAATGTCACCTATAGCAGCTGATTCATGGCCCCTTCCTATATGAAACACAAACAACCAGAGTGAAGGGATACACACATTTTCTTTTTGGCTTAAAATGCTTGTAGCGGTAAAAAGTTTTGCTTGGTTTGAACTGCCAATTAGTACTTGTTCTCATCTGTCTTGCTGTTTATATAGGGGGTGGAGCACAGATGTGCCTTTGAGAGTGCGAGACATGGGGGAAGGAGATTGTTTTAGTGGAAGAGCATGTCAGATCATGCCACCACCTCTGGATAAGGATATCCAGGGTATCCCCCTCCCCCTGTCTCTCTTTCTGTGTTATCTCAGAGAGGCAGAGGAATTATGGGTGGAGAGGAGGAGGGTCATGTGATATTGCAGCAGCTGCTACACTGAACGTTTCACTTGACAAAAAGGGATTGTGTTGTGTTGTGTGTGTGTGTGTGTGTGTGTGTGTGTGTGTGTGTGTTGCTTTGTTAGATAAGCTCCAAACATTTTTTTCTGAAAGAGCGACAGTTTGTGAACCGAGTAAACCGAAACAGACAGACTGTGTGCATGTGTGTGTGTGTGTGTGTGTGTGTGACATTAATGTAAAGGTGTTGAGATTGTGTGCTAGTGTGTTTGCGACTCCCCATCATGCATCTGTGAGCAGGAATGTGAACACAGTAGCACTTTACGTCTGCGCTGTGTGAAGTGTCAGTCTGAGGATCAGTGTTTCAGTGCTACTGCTGCTGTTGTTTATTTCATTATTAATTGCTCTGAGCAGTTCGTGTGTAGTGCAGTGGGTGAACAGGTCTGCAGAGAGCTCCTCTATATGTCTGTCTCTCTCACCCCTGTTTGTACTGAAATGGCAGTGGATCTGAACAAAGGCCTCCTGTAGTGAATCGATGCATTTTTGTAAGAAATTGTTTTGTTTTGATCTCTCCCCTGCACTTCCACGTGCGTCACTTCTGAGCGGCGCATGCGGAAAGCTGACCTCATACGTTATCCGCCCGGAGCTGCTTCCGTTTACAACTGTTGGCGCAAGCTACATTAAAGTGATTATTAGATCCGTGTGAGACACGATTTTTATGGATGGGCGCTTTTTCTTTCACTTCTTTTGGACTGATGCATGCAACACCTGCTGAGTGGCATTAAACAGCTTGA